CCCCCCCCCCCCCCCCCCCCCCCCCCCCCCAACTGAGCGACTTTTGGCCGGCGCGATTTTCAAATTTTCCTGAGTCGTTGCGAAATTTTGGGCCCGATTTTAAAACCCCCCCCCCCTTGAAAAAATCCTGCGTACGCCACTGTGTTATATACATTGCGTATCAAAACAAAGTTTACCCAAATTTGGTAGCTTCTAATTAAAAAGTTCTTACCTGTGTGACCTTAAATCCTGTTTTATTGTAAAGAAGAACTAATACCCTGTCTAACGATACCATTTTCAAAGTTGTGCTTCAAAAAGTATTGTCAAAATCCTCTACCAAGTTTGGGCTGAAGCAATGAATGTGGGTCAAAAGGCATTATGTGTTTGTTATATCATTCCAAAACAATCGCTTTTTTATTTACATTGACTATTAGGCAGTTGAAAAAAGTGTTAACATCAACTCAGACTCAAATAAATACTTATTACAAGCAAAATGTATGACATTCTCTTCGTTAATATGATTATTACAATCTTGACTTCATTCGCATCCCGTGTTTAAGGTTACCTTCTCATTGAGTAATACAAAATGGATAAAGTTTATCTAGGATGTTATCTTTTTCATGAAAGTTTGCTTTCAATTTATTTGATATTTATCATCATAAATGTTCTTTTTTGCATTTGGGTTTAGTAACCTTTGAGTTTTCGATCGCTATTCGAGATAAACACCGTATGCTCCTTACGTGTGTGAGATGGTGCAGTGGACAAGTGAGCAGAGAGAAATTTGATATCATGAGACAAGAAGTTAGTGGGCTGTCTAAAATAATTAAAGGTTATCCTGTCGATTGAAACAAGGTTATGTGAAGCCCTAGCTACGTTGCATCATTTTAAACAATGAAGCACTGAAGCATGAGGCACAGTTTGACTTTTAAACATTTGTTCATTGAGCCCAAGTTTGGCGATTTTGACAACACTTTTAAAAGACCCAAATGCTCATTCACTCGCGGCAGAAATATGATGTATCATTGGACAGGATATAAGTTATTCTTTATCATGAAAGCAATTCCAAAGTCATATTGGTTATGACTTTTCAATTAGGAGCTACCAAAGTTGGGTAAACTTTGTATTGATACGCCCTGTATAGTTTTTTTTTTTTTTTTTTTGAAAAATAAAAAGGATTGCTTTTGCACTAGTCGTTTTAAAAGCATAATTGTCAAGAAAAGGTCGATGCCAAGAGAAGCAATTCTAGGTCACATTATACAACAAAACAACGAAGACAGAAGTATGTGTCGTTGAAGAAATGAGTCTCTGTCATTGTAATTGAGGGAGAACATAAGACCTAAGGGCATATCTGACGTGAATGCCACGAAGAATACATTTTTCTATTCCCATGGAGCTTTGTTCGTTCGGAAAAATGAAGAAACAAACATTATTTATGTCGGGGGTATTGCACTTCCAGAAAGTAGATCTTAGCAAAAGGTATAGATATACAGTTCGTGTACAAAACAACTTCTTTAGTTTAAAGCCAAAAAAAAAAATCCTTTAGAAACGAGCGTTTTGGAGCAAAGAGACGGAACCTTTAATAGAGAAAATGTATAATTTGGCCATTATAAATCATATTTGGTGCACTTTTGCCTTGGATGAAGATCACACGATACGGAGGCAAATTAAATCAGAGATTAAAATGACCTTCAAATCCGGGGGGGGGGGGGGTCACTCGCATATCAAAGTGGTACCCCTGTTCGTCATTAAAAACCTCGAAAAAGGGTCGATTTTTGGCCTTGTGGCGTCGACGTTTTTAGAAAAAATGGTGCTTTCAGGTTAAGTTTCGACGTTTTAGGGTATCTTTTTCAACTTCAAGTTCGACGTTTAGGGTCACTTTTCGGCCATGCCAGCGCCGACATTTATTTGAGTGTATACTACCCATGTATCTTTAAAATTAGTTCCACCGAAGAGATATATTTCCCTTGATTTTTCTAGTCTCTACGCGGGGCTCTACGGCAAGACTTTGAATTACTTGGGTTTGCAGCGGGTTTACTGCCTGGTTTACAATAGTTTTGTAGGGGTACAGCACTGCCGGCCATAGTAATCTTGTTGTGTATGTTTGCGATAGAGTAAGTTTTAATTTGAAATTTCTAATTCAAAATTAAATCTAAGCACTTTTTACTGAGCCATGTTAGTTTATTAGCTGCATTAATAAACTTGAATGAAGAACCAGCATAGCTTCCAATGTGTATGTATAATGCCTCAGTGTGAAAATAACCATTACACAAGTATTAGCTTGGTGGAGGTGGGGATTAAGGGGCCCATTAAAGTAAAAGTTCTGTATGTATTCCGACATATATTTATATGCAAGATTTTAATTATGAAAGGCCAAATTTGAAATAAATTATGTTTCATGTAAATTTCATGGGGCACATATGGAACTCTTTCCCCTGCGATTCTTTCTTAATTACTGTGTAGGTGTGTTACACAATGTATGGGGTTGTTTTTAGAGTTTACGCCATTTAGGGGTCCATTTTAGAGTTTACGCCGTTTAGGGGTCCATTTTAGAGTTTACGCCGTTTAGGGGTGCGTTTTTAGAGTTTACGCCATTTTGGGGTCCATTTAAGAGTTTACGCCATTTAGGGGTCCATTTTAGTTTCTTACGCCATTTAGTGGTGTGATTTACAGAACCGTACGCCAGTAAGGGGCGAAATTTTCTACACTGATTACGCCATTTAGAGTACATTTTTTAGGTGCTGTGACGAGCACGCATACCACTTTGGTATGCGAGTGATTCAAATGTCATCGTCATATTGAAGATTACATTAACAATCACTCCATTGTATCGGTGCCACTTTAATTGGCACGTACGCCCTAGTTGCCCCCTTTAATTGGCACATACGTCCTAGCTGCCCCCCTTTAATTGGCACGTACGCCCTAGTTGCCACCTTCAATTGGCACATAGGGCGTATCCACTGCCTGCAAGTGGCTACGACACTGCACCCGATTCTAACTTGTTTGACAGCCTATAACAGGTGTTAACTTACTCTGTGGTATGTTGACAATGCCCACTGTGATGCCTGCCATCAAATCTCCGACTGCATTATTCTTTAGGTTATACTGACGTAGCCAGTCAAATGCAGGGAAGATATAGACGATTAGACCTACACAGAAATCAGATAATATAGGTGAGGTTAACAGATGCTAAAAATAAAAATATACACTTTTTATCGAAAGCTAAAAAGCTACTATATAGGCCTGCCCATAATTTTAGTTATGGATTCATTGTACAGTTGAAGCAAGGAGAAATCCTTGTTTGAAGGTTGTAAACCACTTCCGGAATAAGTTTTATGTCTTTATATTCAAACAACACTTTAAAATTAAAATAACATTTGAATTTGTTAACAAGATATTCAATGTTTAACAAATCAAGAGGGTATACTTCCAAACGTGCATGAAGACCGTACGTAGGCTGAATCCTTTGCTGGTTATGCCATGCCCTTTAAAATATCTAAATACATTATTCTAAATAGTAGCGTATCCAGCATATGTTTATGTTTTAGTCAGTAAAATACATAAATTTTTCACAAATTTCACATTGGGGCCCATCAGGTGCTCCCAAATGATGTAAAATTGTGTGAATTAATAAGTACATATAGTATAACAAAAATTATAAATATATCATCTCACTATAGTTTTATGCTCTTGAATCACATGTTATATTTGGGCCCTCAAAGTCAGATTTTGAGGCACTCATACCCACAATGCAGGCGCGTACGCAGGGAGGGGGGGGGGTGTTTGGGGGTTAGCCCCCCCCCCCCCCCCTGAGCGAAATCTCGGCCGGCGCGATTTTCAAAACTTCCGGGGGCAAAATTGAAAGAAAAAAAAATTGCTCACTCAGCACACAATTGCCCCCCACTGAGCGAAATATTGGTCGATGCGATTTTCACATTTTCAAACACCCTCCTTGAAACAATCCTGCGTACGCCACTGCCACAATGTATATCATTGTAATTATATTGATACCAAAATGGAGATTTGCTTTGCTATGCTCCTGTTACCCTAGAATATACTTTAAAGCAGTCCTCTTGACTGTTTCGGGTAGCTGATCCACTGGGTTATTTTAGAGCAACTTGCGGGCCCCTGTTGTCTTCTGTGGGTTTTCACCTATACCATATTTTAATGTATTGTTCATTGTCGGTTTTCGACACCAAACGAACATTTTCATCCGAAATATTTGCTCTGAGATGCATAAAAACAATGGTGGGCCCCAAAAACATAAAGTTTGGGCACTTTGGGCACATTTTATTAAAAGAGCAGTTGTTGCCATCGTTTTCCTCAAATTTTTTCTTATGAATCCGCATAAGAAAATGGAGGAACACCATTGACCTAAAAAAGCTGACCTTACCCCTCCCCCCCCCCCCCAACGGAGCAAAATGTCAAATTTTCAAATTTCGAGACCCCCCCCCCCCCAAAAAAAAAAAAGTGTCCTCTTACCCCCCCCCCCCCCTATTCAGCGGTCGGCTGAGTCGTTGCGATTTTTTTGGGACCAAAAAAAACAAACCCCCCCCCCCCCCCCCCCCCCCCCCCCCCCCCCCCCCCCCCCCCCCCCCCCCCCCCTTGAAAAAATCCTGCGTACGCGCCTGGGTTGATGGCCTGCAGCATGATTTCATTACATCGTTCTGGCCTGCCTGGAGAATTAAGAACCCCTCTCTAGACGTAAACACCTCGGAACCCAGCGCTGCCTTTCCTATAACATCCCCTATTTTTCTATCAGTCACACCAACAGACCGACTACACACTGAACAACAGCAAAAAGCTGCCGCCAAAGACCCTAAAATCGGTCGGATCGAGTCGGATTGAGGTATTAACAGTTTCTAGAAACACCACGGAAAAGGCAAGCTTGTATGTAATATTCTCTGGTGCCGATTACATCGTCCTACCTTTATTGCAAAACATTCTATTTGAAATCAGCTCAGTACTCTTTGTTTTCTTTTTAATTGAAGCTGAGTGTGATTTTTCCGGAAAAAAATATTCATATTCAGACTCATTTTCACCATCTGTCCAGTACCAGCAAATGAAATTAGAATGCTAATTTAGATTCTGCACATATTTTCAAAATAATCTATTCACAAAAATCATACGATCTGTTTTTCTAAAATTCAACATCTCTTACCTAGAAACTGGTCTACTCCACACCGACATCGTTTGATCTTACGCTGTACGAATTCCCTCGGGCTCAGTTTATCCTTCCGTTGGTATCCATGTTGCTCATGAAATTCCGACATCGAATAACAATCGCGGTCGATGACCACGCGATGTGTTACTCCATTGTCGTCGACATCCAAATCCTTCCTCCTCCGTCCTACGCCGTTGCCGCTACCGTGGCCATTCTGACCAGTATCGTCACCGTTGATCACGTCGAGTTGGTCTTCGTCCATCGCGACGTAGAGATTGTTTGTGTGCTGATATAGACGATGACCTGTATTTAGAAAAAATTGGAGTTTGTAAGAATAGTTTTTAGTTAAATTATGTGTGTATATCATGAAATTGCAAATGAAATGATAAGGCCATATCAAGTTTCAATACATTTGAGAATGATAGAATGAAAATATAAAATAAAAATATTTAGAAAGGAAAAAAACACGAGACAATAATTTCTATCATGTTCTTTAGTAACCATAAATGTGAAGAAAAAAAGGTTTCCCTTCATCCGAATAGCCACCGAGATGGTCGAAATAAAAACATTAACATAAAGAAATCCTAAAAGCTTTAACGGCCAAACTGATTTGTTTTCTTCTTCAATTTGGTCAAAACATTTCCTTTGCAAATAGATAAAACAGAGATAAGAAACCATTATCACTCCACTCATAAGGACAGAAGAAGGCGCAAAGTCCACTCATGGTTAAGAAACTAAAACCAATTACATTCTCCAACAGATTATTAAGTACGCCTACTCATAAGCTACGGGCCTACTAACAAAACCATCAACAAAAATTGCAGTTGCACTATCTACAATGATATAGGTATCGGATCCGTCCTACCTCTATTGGTATCTGACTTCGGAGGAAAATTTCCTGCTCTTCCTGTCGACGGACTCCTAGGCATTGTGGATATTTATGGATATTCACAAAATTACCAGCAAAAAAAAAAAACACGTTGCACGCGGAACTATTCACCGAGCCGCTCGAGTATAAGGTTGCTCAAGTTTACAATGGACTTTGATTACCCGCATATTCGATGCTATGAAGAGGCTTTGAATAAAACCTCGAATCCACGTAGCAAAATGTGCTTTTTCATATCGTTATTGTAATTGATTGTATTTGTGGCAATGGTATAATTTTGTTGTGAATTATTTTGCCATGCTTGTGCAATATTCATCAAATGATACGAGGATACTCATTGCATGTTTATTTTAATATTGGATACAAAAACAGAATCCTTGAATAAAAAGCATTATGGTTATCAGGCTAATTCATCTATTTCTTTGTGCCTTAGCGATATGCGTGTGTCAAATGAATTTAAACCCATCGTAGATATGCTTTGCGTTTTTCAGTTATTTCGGGCTTTCACAAAACTTATACTCAATGGCGAATCTAAAATCAATTTAAACAGCCTGTCTCGTTAGATAATTTGTTTCTCATAAATGAAATTGATTTGTCAACTGCTATAATTTAGCATAAATAAAAATACAACTGTTCACTTCTCATCTATCTTCTCATTTTTCACCAAATATAATTGTTACCTTCTCAGCTATGATTTCCCTCATTGAAGAGCAACAGTTTTGTTATTGAGTTAAAAAGTATTTCCAACTAAAGCTTGGTGTATTATACGTGTACAACTCCAACTGGTAAGTCACATTGTGAAGAAAATGGCTGCGCCCATGTCATGCTAAAGGCATCACAATCATGATGCCAAGAATTTCTTCATTTATAATATATCTCTTGTACACTTTCGTAAGAGATATTGTACATCGATGGGCAGGAATACATCACATTTTTTCTCCAGAATACCTATATACAGTTCTTTGGGGTGAGGTTTCCTTTAAACAAGGGATGCAGAGCAACCCTAGATGGAAAAATATAATTTTAAAGCCTGTCTGCACTAGTTTCGCCAGGAGGGATTAGACCTCTCTGCGAGGTCACTGACAGGTGAATATCTCATCAAACCAGCTCTCAATAAAATAAGAAAAAGGGATCATGGGGGACCAACGGGTACCGCTCAGGCATTGTTTGATATATAGAGGGCGCAAGTAGCTACTAGTAGTGCAGTTCCGCTTTAAGCTTGCTTTTATATTAGAAGACAAATATTGAGCGGGTATATTGGCATTAATATTGGTTACTGAAATGAGAAGAAAAAAAACGATTTCTCTACTTAACAATTTGCTCTTGCTAACAAAAGCACAACATACTTTTATGGACTCTTCGATTTAGCCTTTGCAAGCTGGGTGCGAGTTGTTGACAAGACGTTCTGCAAACCCTGGTGCTCAGTCATTCGTGGGAACGAAGATATGAATGGGGTTTCATATTAAACAAATTCCTTTTAAAAGGTATCACAGATTTTATGTCTTTTCAAGGAGTTGCACATTGGTCCTTTTCTGCCTTGATACGCACTCTGTATGAGTGAGCCATTGTGATTAGTAATATACGAGTAAATACAATCATTATAACAGCTTAAAGGAAACCTCACCCCGGGGAATCAATTTAGTTATTCCGAGAGATTGTATTCTTGCCCATTAATATACGAGATTCCCCACGACATTGTATTATAGAAGTATGAAGCAAGAAAAGACGACAGTACTATGTAAAGTCGTTTATATGTATTCAACTGTATATGGATGCTTCCTTCCCTGGTGTGTGTGGCGTTAAAGCATTTCAGTCACCTATACTATTATAATTTGTACTACAATTGCTAGAACGCAAATTGCATAACTAATTCGGTGCTCTTCTGCGGTGAAGGTTTCTCATAAATGAAATTGATTTGTCAACTGCCCTAATTTAGTATTTTTAAATAAATAAAAATACAATTGTTCTCTTATATTTTGTTCACGAAATATAATTTTACTTTCTCAGCTATAATTTTCCCTCATCGAAGAGTAACGTCTTTATAAATAGCTAGCAGACCACCACCCCATGTCATGCTAAAAGGCATCCCATCATGCCAAGAACATCTTCATTTCTATATCTCGTGTACACTTTCGTAAGGAATATGGTACATCAAAGGGCAGGAATACATCTCATTTTCAAAATACCTACACTTGTTCTTTGGGTGATGTTTCCTTTAAACTAGGGATACAGGGCAACCCTAGATGGGAAAATATGATTTTAAGTTTGCTTTTATATAAGAAGACAAATATTGAGCGGGTAAATTTGAATTAATATTGGTTACTGAAATGGAAAAAAACGATTTCTATACTTTACAATTTGCTCTTGCTAATAAAAGCACAATTTATTTTTATATTGACCCTTCGATTTAGTCCATGCAAACTTGGTTCGAAATGTTGACAAAACGTTTTTGCCAACCCTGGTGCTCAGTCATCCGTGGGAACAAAGATAGGAATGAGGTATACATTTAGACATTATCCCCTTAAAAGGAATTCAATTTCAAAATCGCAGAATGTTATAACGTCTGTTGACAAGAAGTTTCCAAAATTTGGTATAAAATTTTCTGATACGCACTCTGTATGAGTGGACCATTGTGATTAGCAATGAGGATATAACATGATATTATAGAAGCTTTAAAGGGGTTTTAAAATTGTGCTTAAGTGTGATATCCGCATCAGATTACTGGTTCTTTGTAATATGACCAAGCATGTCCATTTTTCAAGAACTCTTCTCTTGTTGAGTGTTTGGGTTCATCTCAGATCACTTTGGGCCTCGTTATTATCAAGAGGATAGGTAAACTTTAAACTGAATATAACTGAACTTTGGATTAAAATGGAGGTTTGAAATATTGTATGCTTTCTTACAATACACATACACATCAAACATAACATTTATGCAGATTCACGATTCACGATATTTTAGAGAACGTCAATATTTGAGGAAATGTCTGAGTTATTCTTCATTAATATTATAAGCTTCGTTGAATGTCCTTGTAGACCTGTAAGTATGAAATATGGTTGAAAGAGGTTGGTCTCCTTAAAGACCCTGTCGAAAGTGAAAAACGAAATACATGAATTGCATATCATCGGGAAGCTAATAAGTCGTAGAATACAATAATATCAATATTATTGTATGCAATTTTAGTTACTCTCAGAGCTCTCTGAAAACTCAAGATCTAAAGCTTTGAAAATCGCTTGTTGTTCACCTAAAAATTACCGACTTGATGACATCGCCTTATATGGAGTACGCATATTTACAATGATTTTGCATTAATTAAGCACGGCTCATCACCTCTAGGCGAGCCGATTGGGTCCACACGTAATGTCGTAACCTAACTGCTGGAAAATTGTACCCTGATGACCCATTACTTGGAGGGGTGCGGAAAATGAGGTTTTAAATTGCTTTTGTGCAATACTTAAAGGGAAAATATGTTTTATTCCTATATAATTTATCCTACGCTCATTCAGCTTTCCATTGATATAAATTCGTATTTTCATCGGATAAGGTCTTTAAAGGTGAAATTCAAAGAAAATCACAAATATGTCAACTAATGTATCACTAAAAACTGGTTAGCTAACAGATGGCCATCGTACAAGTTTGAGGTCAGCTACATATCGGGTGATTTATAAAAATAAAAATACAACCACCTCCATAGCAGCTAGGATATACGAGAGATTCGCCAGAAAAATAACGATGTTTTAATGACGTCATAACAGGGACCAATACTGCCCAAGCAGACGACATCCCATAAAGAATGAACATAATTGCAAAGCTATTATTTCTCAAATTATAATAAGTTTAGTGTATATAAATGGATTGGCATGTCAAACCGATCAAAAGGGGACATGACCCGATTCTGATGACTAAAATCTTTTGCTTGTAAATACTCAGGATAGGGGTTAATTAACAATCAAATAAACCAGACTTTCAAATTGAAAAGCCCCCGGATTGATATTAAGGACGGCATGTGTTCCCTCTTGAAACGCCGAACATACCCCGGTGTGTGCAGCTGAATATACAATGGCGTCTTATTTTGTTTACAAGCGACAGATTCCTTTATTTTTGTATCGCTGCATTTGTCATCAAAATAAAACCATGCGCCGGGTTTAGAGTGATGCAATAGATTATACATTTAGCCTGACGGTAGTGAAGTAAGAGAAAGAACTCAAGAGAAGATGAAAACACAGGCACTGAAAATGTGTGAGATGTCATGGGACATCGTCTGCTTGTGCAAATCATGTCCCTGCTGTGATCTCACACATCTCAGCAGCGTTCGGAGAGCTATTTAGGTGCTATGCCGGGGCTGTATTTAAGCGTTTTGTAATTTATAATAATCATTACTTCGAATGTTTCCAAGCATTGAATTTTGATAACCTTGTCGAATCAAAGTTTCAACTTTACAATAATGAAAATAAAGCTAGATTTAAAATCAATGAATATCTACTTTAACTAGAAAAATAAATTCTGTAGAGAGAATACAACTTTTTTAAAGTAAACATAATCATTTGTCACCCCTTATTATGAAGTGGGTACGATTTTAAAAAAAACGCTAAGCATCAGAATTTTAGGACAAAACAAACAAACAAGTAAAATATGTTTTGAAAAAATAAAGACATTACAAACGACGGAGAATCATCTTCTTACGAACGAATTGATAATTCACGGATCTATTTTCTCAAATTGAACTTCACAAAACGAAAAGTTTTTTAATATCCCAATATATAGTAACCGGCAAAGCAATTGAACAATTTATTTTAAAAATACAATGCGCGGCAAGAGATTCGGGGACTTTTGAAAGAAGTCGGACCCACCTTAATAGCTCTGGATCCTGAAAGGAGCAACTCTTCAAAAACACAACTTTACTTAGAAATAAATCAGCAATGAAACATATCGTATGTTCTATTCTAATAATGAGTCAGCAATATTAGATTCGAGGTGACTCGAGGACGAAAGTATAGACTTGAGTCCCACTGACTTCCCAGACTTATTACCTCAAGAGATAAATAATGATTATTGTCTTTCCATTGTTATATAGTAGTGTTATCTAAAATAGACAACATA